GAATAAAATGATACTTCGTGTGCATTATGCATGCAATGGAATGCAGCCCTAGTATTAATTCGCAATCTTGTCACTTACTCTATCCTGGACGTTTAATAAGTTAGATTGTTTGAACTTCTGGCTATTCACCTTCCTCTCAATAATTCACATCTTGTTATCGTATATAATACCCTGTTGGCGTATTCAGGCATCCCAACTTATCTTCATCGCGTGCTGTACTCTCTAATCTCATTTCTTTCATAGAGGATCATGATCCGGCTATTCTTCTGGGTAATCTTAATGCTTACCACCTCTTATAGAGAGCTTCCCAGCAGAATACTGCCGACTATATCCTTTGCGAGGGCATAAATAACTAGCACTTGTAATTCTTTTAAGGCAATAGCACGTAAAAAAACTTTTAAGAAGTAAGCGAATCGACCAATCACAATAAAGCTATATAAGTACATAACGTAAGCAATAGCGAATCCAACATGTTGATTTCCTTGCTTAAGTCTTATGTCTTAAGTTTATATATGTGCTAGGACCTTTAATCCTCCGTCCTTTCCTATTTTTATTTCTCCTCTAGAAATCTTTCCATGATCTGTCACTGATCTTTCCCAGCCTCCTTATATGATACATATCCTTTCAAGTCTTTTTGTCATTTCCTCATTGAAGTTCAGATTAACTGCTTGATCAAAATTATCAATGTCTTCTCTTATAAGATCATGCTCACTTCTAGTGATCTGAAGTTAAGCAGCATTTTCTTGATAACGCTGGCATTATTATTCACTCGATAGATTTCTATCTTTAATCCCGACGATTCTCTTATCCAATATAACATCTTTTTTTGACTTAGTACCAAAAAGGTTTATTGTACACTCTCCCTTGAATTTTAGGAAAGATTGATTCCGGTTTCTGAGTGCGGCTTGCACCAACAAAGATCCCCCTCTGACTTTTTGGACGCTGGAATAATTTCACAGAAGCAGTAGTTAAGCATTCAAAACTTTCTAAAAAAATCTACGCATGCTCTTTGTCATGGTAGCTTTGTCATGGTAGTAAATTGTATGTTTCCATCTCTCAATTGTTCCTTGTCCAATTCATCGCATTTCTTGCTGCAATGCAGTTAAATCCACTCTTTAGTTATCCAGTGTTTCGATGAACATCTTCAGTGCTCCTGCCCTATATAGTATACGGATGTTCCATGGTTCAATCTTTATGTCCTTACTTTCCTTATCTTGTCTTAGTCCATTCATTTAGTTTAGTAGTTCCATTTCTTTGAGCTTTCGTAACATATGTTTTTTTAAGGGAATGGGTTGTTAATCCCTAACTCAATCCTCTTAAATCAGATCATTTCTTCTTTTCTCGTCAGCTGTCAGTTTCCCTGATCTCTTCCACTAGGGGTTACCCAATCTCCAACTGAGTTGCTCAAATTCTCCACGGTTCATCCGCATAATTTTTTGTTATGCTTCATGGAGATAAGGATAGAAATTGAGTTGGAGAGGTTGTATAATGTTAACCGGCATCGTGCATTATCCTGTTCGAATCCTTTTTGCAATCATTACAATTGTAATTTTTTTAAGTATTATAATCTCAGATTCTTGAGATAAAAATTAAACAATAAATGAAAACACGAACAATTAAAAGTCTAAATTCGCAGTAATTGGAGAAATTATATCAACATATATTTTTCATCATTGATGCAGTACTACTGATATACTATATATAACAAATACTGAACGTTTCGGCTCAAGCCATCTTCAGCAGTCAAGAGATTTTATTATACTAGACTGCTGAAGATGGCTTGAATTAAGCCGAAACATTCGTTATTTTTATATATATATGTAGTACTGAGAAATATACGTTGATATAATCCCTCCAATTAGGCTCTTGTCCATGTTTTTATTTATTGTTTAATTATTATAATCTCGTTTTTTAGAGAAATCTATGATAATTTTTATGTGCAGTTAGTCAAAGAAGTATTTTCGATTCTTATCTATCACTAGATTATACGTTAAAAACATTTCCAACATTTCTTTCTCTCTTATTTCATCGATAACTTACCTAGAATTTTGCACAAGTTCGGTATTTCAACTTATATTAAAAAATTCAACTTATATTAAAAAATTAAATTTTTCTGTGATAACTCGATTTACTGTAGAATCATGGAAGAAGATTTTCACTATGTGCAGAATCACCTTAAAGCTTTAATGAGTGATCAAATCAAACGCAGCATTACATATTACATAAATAAAATGTGTCACACGCGTTTGAAGTAAATAATACTATTCAATAACATATAGTTAATTAGTTAATGACATATCTTTGTTTATCAGAAGTTAAAAGCCTAATGCCCGTTTCCATCAATGTAGATTGATTTTAACTTGATTTACTCTCGGTTCAACTTACTCTTTTTCTAAAGATTAGACGTTGAAAATGGGCATAATTGTATGTTGCGACATTGAATTCTGACCTATCTAATCCTTTTTTCAATAGTAGGACATATAACTCAGTTATAGTCAATAATTTAAAGATGCTAAGTTTCAGTTCACCTGAGCAACAAGTACCCGGAAACCTAAATCATTGCAGCATGCTGCAACTTTTCATCTCCAATTATCTTCATAACATTGTTCTTTAATCCCAGAGCCACAATCGTAAATGAGTTTTGCAGTTTTCATGAAGAAACTTCCTGTGCAATAACTACACAATCAATAACAAGCCCTCGATTCCACTGATATTTCACGTCGATTTATTGCATTATATGCAATGTTTATTGCAAATGTTTATTGCAAATAACATTTTACTGAATATTTTACCGAATATTTTATATATTTTTTACATATTTTCGAATATTTTACATACTCGATTTTTAAAAAGATATAAATCTGACACAATTGCAAAATTAAGTAGCAATCATATTATTGATTTAATTGTGTTTTTTATTACTTTTTGTCCGTCTTTTCAATCATGATTAGAACGGAAATCCTTTTCAAAAGGAAAACAGCGACTAAGTAACTGGAAAAAGTTATTAAATACTTACTGCTACGAGCTTCTGTCGTTATTTGTCTGCTTCATCGGTATTTTTTGTTCCAAAGTTTGTAAGACTTAGAATTTGCTCTTTTTAGTACTTATGTATAGGTCAGGAAGTTTATTAATGTAATTAAGAAACCGCAAGGATGAAATGAATAAAAGTCTGATCTAATTCTATGTGTTTCAAAATTTAAATTATCTCATGAATTGTGCTAAAAGAATTTCTTGATAAACGAAAATATTTTTATGATTTTTATATGCTTCTTTATTGCCCTCTTTGTGCGAACAATCCTTACTTTAATAATATTAATAAGTAAATAAATAAAATTGTCTCCAAATCTATACACTTAAAGTTTTTTAAAATAAGTTTTATATAACTTTTATATAACTTTATTTATGTCTTGCATGTATGCATACATACGTGTAACATACGTGTAATATCAATATTTGATATTGTAAAATATAATCAATAAATATACACATTGCTAATATTAGTCAACGCCCAATCAAATGAAATATTTGAAAAACCTAGTTTAAAACGAAAATATATAACGGAACAAATAATCTTGCGCATGACTAGCTCTTTTTTGATGTTTTCGACGGCGCAATATACTTAGGTCAACAAGGAGATATTACTTTCCGTAGGACAATTTTATGAGCCCATTGGCCTCTGCAGTGACGGTTTCTTTTGTAATTTCTTTCTTTAATCGGGCAGAATACGTGGGCGAAAAAATATTAAGTTCACCACTTTATGTAGTCGCATGAGGCTAGCCTTTGACATTTCATATGATGCAGTGGTTGCTTAGACCTCGAGGAAATTGCGTAATGGGTGTCACATTTATTTCCGGAGTTTACATCGAGTGCTGTAATATTTTGTTCGCAGCTAATCATCGATTTTCCGAGAGAAATTTTTGGATAAAATGTATTTCGCAGAAAATCAATTTTCGTCACACATTTTTTAAAGTATAGAACTGTAAAAAAAACTTCTAAAAAAATTTTCTAAAAAAAATTTCTAAAAAAAAAAATCGAAAACGACTTTTGATTGAAAAGGGTTGAATAATATCAAGGTGGTATAAAAGTTTTTTTAGGCATATTTTGAAAAAATTAGGTCTACTTTCTCATTCGTCTATTTTTCATCGAGCTTCGTTGTCTCATTAAAATCGAAGATCTAATTTTCGGCCACTTGTCTTCTCACATTCTATTTACATCTAATTCTAAACGATTAGTTAAATTTTTTTCTATATTCTTTTTTTCCACAAAATTTAAAGTAAAAATATATATTAATTAATCTGGCTTTAAATATTTAAATTTAATCGCTACATATGCACATATGATTTATCTAATTACCTCATTACCTAATGTTACATATAGTGTTTCTAATTCCACGTTATCTCTCAGAGATAATTAGGTTTAATGATCAGTTATCAATGATTTGACGTTTCACAATTACATTCGAGGGCTCCCTATCGATAACTACGTTACTGAAAAGAGGGGTGCAGTTTCCCGGACGTACGTTCGTAGAATGGTTTTCAGGAGAAAATTCAACAGCATGGAGGCGCAAGGGAGGGAGAGAATGACGGACTGAGAGAAATCCTGCGCGAAGGTGGAGTCCCAGAATTTTCTATGAAATAAAAGAAACGAAGAAAGAATTGCAATAAGTGTGAGAAAGAACGATCAAAAGAGAGATAGAGACGAGATGGCGTAGGGTAAAGAGTAAGAGGAGGGAGCAGGCGGAAAAGGAGAAGAGGGACAGAAAGAGAGAAAGGAAAAGGGGGAGGAGAAAGAGAAACAGCAAGAGAGAGGAAATGGATCAGATGAGAGTATGAACGGGGCGAGAGTGAGAGAGAGAAAGAGAGAGAGGGGGGGGGAGGAGAATATCCTCGTTTCGCAAAAGGAACAGGAGCCCTGGCGGCAGGGTAGCAGGACCGATGAGGGTGGCAGAGAGAGGTGTTGCGGGGGTAGGTTTCGTACGGCCAAGGTAGTGGAGCCGCGGACAGTCGCCTCGACGCTACCATCTTTCTCAGTTGCTCCACGGTTTCCGGACTCGGCGGACCGACAGGCAGGTTAGTGAATCCAATTCTCGTTCATTCACCAGCCAACACGTCGTCCCTCCGTTGCGCCCGACCCTTCTGATCTGTATTTGCGCACACCCTCTCTCTTTCTCTGTTTTTGATTCGCACACCGCTATTACACGTGTCATTTAACCGGTGATTGCGATATTTTCTTAGGATTTTTTAAGGGTAATAGAAAATATACGAGACAGCATATTATAGAATTAATTTTAGGGATGATATCCCTTGGACAAATTGTGAGGAAAATATGGAGGACGAGGTATCGCGAGACCTCCGAATGTTATAACTGATCATGGTGGAATCAGATTCCACCATGATAACTACGTTTCGCTTCGCGCTCTTCGCCGATTGATGAGAATTAGGTGTTCGCGCTCTCAGTGACGCACAATCTGTTATTACCATTGTTGCGAAAGAGGTGATGTGTCGATGTATGGGGAAGGGCGTTGGGATCTAATCTGACAAAGAGAAATGTAATTGTGTTTAATGAAACTATCAGAATTAGAATGGGAGAATTATAACGAAATTGTATGTGAAATTCCACGGAAAATGTCACGAGAGAATAAATGGCTACATTCACTAGAAAAAGCAGCTTTGCAACTGTTGTAAAATTTTTTATGATTAGTCTTGCTCTTAGTTCCTTAAAATGTATAATTCAATTATATATTAAACAATCATACAACAGCATAAAGTTGTTTTTTTTTGCTAAATGCAGCCATTAACAAATGATAGATATACCTTTTAACAGATGAGTTTATTGATCCAAATCGATTATTTTTAAAGAAATTAAAATTTTTTTTAATAAAAGAAATTAAATCTTTCAAACAAATTAAATTATTGGAATTAATTTTGATATACAATTATATACTTCATAATTGTAGTACTGTGAAAATAATAATCTCATAGAATTTTAACAAATATTCCGAGAAATTACAAAATTATTTAAAATATTGATTATTTATTGTGATTATTATTTTGATTATTATTTTGATGTAAATCAATTATTGTAATTCAATTTTTATAAATTAATTATTAAAAATATATTTTACATATACAAAGGAAATATATAGAGAATTTTGTAACTTAAAAATATAATTCACAAATTGCAAGAAAAAATTTGACTTAAATCGAAAAACATAATCTTTGCTACTCTTTTCATTTTGTGAAATTTAAAAATAAAAAATTAAAAGCATCAAAAAATTTTATCGCAAATACATTATGTGCAATTGACAAGCCGTTCTAGATAAGGTTCAAGATTCGTTTTCCTACCTTTCAAATAATAGCAAGCATAACCTTGAACGAGAATAGAACATTTTATGATTAATACCACGGGAGTTGCTGCGTTAATATATCAATGGTCATAAAACCCTTATTGAATCGGGTCGATCAAAAGTAGGTCAATTCCAAAACTGAAAGCCGTCGATCAACGAAAAATATCGGTGTGATTTTTAACATATGGCATCACCTATCGACGATAAAATTCAAGTCGATTATTTCGTATTGTTTGTTCATATCGTATTATTTTCGCATCGAAAAATATACTATATCTCACGAATCAATTCACACACGCGCTCTTTTATTTTCATTGTATGGAAAAAAAAATCGAAAATATAAATACGTGAAGATTGATCACGCGTAATATATCGATAGATTTTGCTTTCTAATTACATATTTCGCTATTAGTCATTAATGGTGGCTTAATTTTGTTAAACTGCACCAATGATACGGCGCCGATATAATGAACAAGTACAAGGTAAATACGACGATAACTCTGTCAGATAGCACGTTAGTCTAATGTGACTGACAACATTTGCAAAATGTCAGCCGTGTATTAGTGACGCATTTTGCGCAATTCTACTCTCGTAATCTATCCGTTTAGAATTACATTGCAATTAATCATAAAATTATATAAATATCGGTAACAAACAATGTTAATGGCAGCTAATTCGACTAAACGATCGTGATTTAGCAGAGATATGTATTTAACAAAAACTATTACAATAATACGTTGTTTACGAATTATTAAGATTTGACTGCTGCAATTTTCTATAATACATATTTTATATAACTTTTATAGTTAAAAGCAGGATTAAGAAATACCATATTATTTGTAACGTCGTTATTTTTTTTAAATTAACATTAATAAAAATAAACGAATTAAAAGGAACATTAAAAGGAATATGTAGTTTATAGATTGGTCAGATATACGTATAATAAAACATTTCGGAAGTTTAAATATGTAGAATACTTAGAGAATAATTATTTCTATCCAAATTGTGAAAAACATCTTTTTTATAATCCGGTCGGATAGACAAACTATTCGAATGGCCAAATTGTGAAAAATCGGCCCGACACCGAATAGTCATTGGATATCCGTTGCATCCCTAATCAAATAGCATTTTTCGAGTAGGTTTATGTTGGATAATTCTACTGCTGGTTGACGTTACATGTTCCACTAATAGGAGAACATACAATGTCATTAATCCAATCTAAATTAATGCAAACCCGTTCAAGCTATAATAATAGATACACTAGAAGTTTCATTAAACTGAGATTTCGACATTTTTGCATAATTTTTTTATTAGACTAGTTGAATCCGATAATTGTTATTATTGAAAATATGTAGTATATATGTAGTATATATGTACACACACACACACACACACACACACACACACACACACACACACACACACGCACGCACGCACGCACGCACGCACGCACACGCACGCACGCACGCACGCACACACACATAGGGTGTACAAAAAGTCCTGGACTCTTTAAGTATCTTAATAAGTAAGCTTTCTAAAAAAAAATATTTCATATGAAGTTGTAGGATTTAAAATGATATATTTACTTATCTTATCATAATTCGTTATTTTATGCGAGAGAGAGAGAGAGAGAGAGAGAGAGAGAGAGAGAGAGAGAGAGAGAGAGAGAGAGAG